TTAATATGTTAGTTATGAGTTTTTTTCATAAGTACTTTACTTTAGAAAAAAGGTTTCCAGGGCAAACACCCTTGAATGTGAAATTAATTGACTTGAGTTAAAGATCTCCACATCAAAGAAGATGATATATCCGCTCCGCATGGGAGACCTGAAGAAGATGTATTCATGGCCTAAGAAGTACGTTTCTTAGCTTATCTTACTTTAAAAGAGGTCGCATTCTTCAGGCCAAATTCCTTAGATACGTCCAAAGAAGTTTATTTCTTAGCTTCTCCTTTCATAATTATGCTTAATTTTTTTTTGTATATTTGATTATGAGTTATATAAAAAAAAGATAATTCTCTGTTATTTTTAAATCCTTCATTACTCAAGTCAAGAGTTAAATTTAAAATTTTCAATTTAAAATTTTAAATTTTTAACTATTAAATCACTTTATTAAAATTATTATGCTTTAAATTAATCTTACTCTTAGGCAGTGTTCCGTATAGCCTGTTCCCCAACAATAACATCTGCAATAGCAAAGACAGCAAAGCCCAGTTGTGTTTGAGCTTCGCACTACAAAAGTTATTGCTATGTAAAGTTTTGAGCCTGCTCTAGTTTCATGTTTCCCCCATTCCTAGAGCTGTTTCTCTGCTATCTAGAGCCTGAGCCCAGCCCTCATCAGTTGGGCTGGTCTGATAAAAAAAATCTATCGAAACATTATATGTACTGGGTCAAACCCAGTCAATTATTGGGCTCATGCACAAGAATAGGCACTATTTTATTGTCTTCTTGATATTCTTTTCTATTTTTATTTTTATTTTTTAAAGCAGAAGTGTTTTTGGTTTTTTACATACTATATTAATTTTTTTTTTTTTAAAAAAAACTCGTTTTGCTTAAGATTACTGGGAGATGGACCCAACGTAAATTAACAGAAGAATTTGTTTTCAACATTGTTAAATAAGATTTGATTTTATGAGAAGGTTAATGATAAAATAATTTTTTATAAATTTTTTAGTTTTGTAGTTTTATGGAGTAATACGTTTGTCGGCAAAAAAATAATGAAGTAACATGTTTGATTTGAAAAAAATGAAAAAAAGGAAGAAGAAATGATGAATGTTTTAATTAATTAAATTATAATATTTTATAAATTTAAATTTAATTAATTAGAAAATTCATCTTTCATATCCTTTCTATTTTTCTCAAACTAAATATACAATTAGGATAAATAACTTGTATTTGACTAAATTAGAAAAAATATATATTTTGTCTCGCAATATGCACAAATCGACCCGATGATATATTAATTGCTAAAAAAAAAAACAAAACAAAAGATTAACGAATGGGCTAAGCAAACAGTTAGTGAACCAAATAGG